TCCACGCTGAACCAGGAGCCCAGCGCAGGGGGCTCGATCGCGTGACCCCAACATCATGACCGGCGCTGAAACCCAGAGCCAGCTGCTTCACCTACTGAGCCCCCCCAGGCTCCCAAGGCTTCCAACTTTTTAAAAATAAAGTATGTCTCATTCCAAACTAAGTTAAATAAATGTTAAAATTACCTATCACAGGGGCACCTGGGTAGCTCAGTGGGTTAAAGCCTCTGCCTTCGGATCAGGTCATGATCCCAGGGTCCCGGGATCGAGCCCCGCATCAGGCTCTCTGCTCAGCAGGGAGCCTGCTTCTCCCTCTCTCTCTGCCCGTCTTTCTGCCTACTTGTGATCTCTGTCAAATAAATAAATAAAATCTAAAAAAAAAATTATCATAGAAGTGAAAATGCTTCATCATTATTTTCTCAATATAACTAAAATGTGTAAAACCTTCAGCAGGAAAACCAGATTACTTAATCATACCTTATCAGTTTGTTCCTTCAACCAGAACCGACCAGCTTCGCTGCCAATGTTTGGACTGAGGGCTTCATCACTGAGTTTGCAGTTCTGTCTCTGCCCTTAGCAAGCAGATGATCTATTAAACAGGTAATTTCTTGGGGCGCCTGGGTGGTTCATGTCATGACCTCAGGGTCCTGGGATCGAGGCCCACATCAGGCTCTCTGCTCAGCAGGGAGCCTTCTTCCCTCTCTCTCTGCCTGCCTCTCTGCCTGCTTGTGATCTCTGTCAAATAAGATCTTTAAAAAAAAAAAAACTTGTTTCTTTCAAACAAGTTGGTGCTATTTTTGTTTCATAAAAACATTGGTTATAATTCACATGACCAACACTCCAATTCACTGTTTAAAAAGATGAAGTTCAGAATATAAACATTAGGGCGCCTGGGTGGCTCAGTTGGTTGAGCGACTGCCTTCAGCTCAGGTCATGATCCTGGAGTCCCGGGATCGAGTCCCGCATCAGGCTCCCAGCTCCACGGGGAGTCTGCTTCTCCCTCTGACCTTCTCCTCGCTCATGCTCTCTCTCACTGTCTCTCTCTTCTCTCAAATAAATAAATAAAATGTTTAAAAAAAAAGAATATAAACATTATATAAACTCATAATTTAAAGAAATTAAGTTCCTAAAATACATTGAAATGTGGTACAAATATTTTTTAATGTTTTATTTTTAATTTTCTATCCTTACTTTGTGTCTTTCAAAATATTACTCCAGGGGCACCTGGGTGGCTCAGTCGGTGAAGCATCTGACTCTTGATTTCGGCTCGGATCCTGATCCTGAAGGATCCTGACTGTGACCTGAGGTCATGAGACTGAGCCTTGCATCAGGCTCTGAGCTCAGCAACGACTCTGCTTGTCCTTCTGCTTGTCCCTCTCCCTCTGCACCGCCCCCAACACACTAGTGTGTGCGCGCGCCCTCTCTCCCTCTCAAATAAATAAATCTTAAAAAATATTTCTGGGGCACCTGACTGGCTCCATTAAGTGTCTGCCTTTGGCTCAGGTCATGATCCCAGGGTCTTGGGATGGAGTCCTGCATTGGGCTCCCTGCCCAGTGGGGAGTGTGCTTCTCCCTCTCCTGCTCCCCCTACTTGTGCTCTCTCTCTGTCAAATAAATAAGTAATTTTTTTTAATTACTTCATAGACTCTCCTACCACTGTTCTCTACCTTTTTTATGCAATTTTTTTTTTAAGATTTCATTTATTAGAGAGAGAGAGCACAACAGAGATAGAGTGGGGAGGCAGAGGAGAAGCAGGCTCCTCGCTGAGCAGGGAGCCCAACATACGGGTCTCAAGGCTCCATCCCACGACCCTGGGATCATGACCTGAGCCAAAGGCAGACGCTTCACTGACTGAGCCACCCAGGCCCCCCGCCCCATCCCTAAGGTTTTTATTTACATAATCCCTACTCCCAACGTGGGGCTCACACAACCCCAAGATGGAGTCACAAGCTCCACGACTGAGCCAGCGGCCCACTTTGTGCAACTTTTCAAAGTAAATGCTCCGTTAGTGCTTCCTAGAACGAAGAGCCTGTGTCACATACAGCGGATCTTCGACCCGCCCAGGGAATGAACCCATTCACAGTTCCTGACGCATACTGGGCATCTGGGTCATCTGCAATGACTACAAGTGAGCAGAAATGTTGCAAGATGTAACATATCTATACCCATAACTTCCCGTGCAAATTTGGTCATCGCTGACTTGATCCTTTCTCAAACAGCTGTCTTGAGGCAGAGCCTCCTACGGCACGATCTCGCCCCACGGCGAGGGCACACACTCAGGAGTTCCACGATCGTGGGTTCCATGCCCGGTACCTTCACCAGATGGAGGCTCCCTGAGGGACGTTGTTTCGGGCATTCGCTCAATCAGACGTTTACTGAGCACCTACTGTGGGCTGGCTGAGCAGGACCGACGTCTGCCCACACTGTTGGGCGTGGGCAAGTGCTGATGAAAAACTGGTCTTCCCAGAGTACTTCCGTGTGCTGCACAGAGATCCCCGTGGGTGGCTGTGTCCTCGGGCTGTCACGGGGCTGGGGGACTGAGCAGTAGTACTCAGGTGAGTGGCGTTAACCCGCAGCAGAGGGCAATTCCCACCCCCACCGCGGGGCTAACCCTCCTCTGGATCGGGTCAACGCACTCGAGGGAGGCAGGTGGGCCAGGTGGTCACAGAAGTCAGCACCTGCTGTCTACCCAGCGGCCTCTGCGGTCCCTCCATTCAGCAACAGTGAAAGCCAAGTCCAACAGCAGAAGAGGTGAAGAGGGCAGTGAGCTGCAGGTTGCTCCCCTTTCTCAGCTTTGGGGGACTCAAGGCCATGTCCAAACTGTGGCTTAAAGAAGCCCATTAAGTTCACTGAAGAACCCTGGGCTGGAAGGGCCTGGGGCCACATGCTGAGCATGGCACGCTGGGCCCTTCTGCTTCCTAGGAGACTGCTACCTGCCTGCCAGCCCTTCCTGTCCCCACCAGGATTCGGGGGGACACGGGGACCAGGCGCTGTGAGAGACATTTGCACACATGGCATCTCATTCAAGGGAGAGTCAAGAGCCAGGCGAGGGCTCTTTTGGGGTGACTGGTCCAGCCTCCTGCTCCCCTTGAGTGTCCAGAGAGAGACTCCCTCCCAGACAAGGACAACCGACAAGTGACAAAGGTGGTGCCCCTCTTGGCTGAGTCTGGGCCTGAAACCTGGAAGCAGAACGCCGCTGAGCCTGCGTGTCAGGTGGGAGGACGGGTCTACGGCGGGAGTGCTCACCCCTTCGGGCCACTCCCTGCCTGCAGCAAGGTTAAGAGGTGTGCACCCCGGGGGAGAAAGGAAGTCTCCCGGGGCTCCCCCCCACCGGCCTACCCACCTGGCCCCTTCCGTGTGGGGGAGCTACCGAAGGAAGCTGGGGGGCCCAGGCACCAGCGACACTCAGATACTCATGTCGCCATCCTGTACCCGCCCTTTGCCCGGTGGTGGTGGTGGCGGTGGGCACTGGGGCCTAAACACTCCACAGCCAGCACTCCCTCCTCCGTCGGACAGGGTACTGCCTGGGCCACAGCCATCAGACCCAGGGCTCCTTTGGGAGGAAGAACCGTGGCTCAGCGCAGACTGGGCACGGCTGGAACGCAAGAGCTATATAGCCCCACAGACGGGTGCTTCCCAGGAGGAAGGGAGGAGGCCACCTTCACGAGGTAAGGTCCTCCGGGCAGGGCTGTGACCCGTCCTCTCTCTCAGGCAGCTCTGACTGAGGCCTGCACTTGGGGCGCTCACCGCCATGCTGAGGGAGCCCCCAGTAACACATCAAGCAAGGTCCCGGCCCCGGGGGGAGCCAGATGCTGGCTGGCCAGGGCGCCCCAAGCAGGCCCAGCTGGGGCCTGGGGGCAGCTTCGCCTGGGAGGGCCTGGGGGCTCCAGGAAGGGGGAAGGGAACCTAAGCCCCCAACGTTGGGCTGCCCTGAGAGCGAGGAGAGGCTGTGCAGCCCGCAGCCCTGCCCTCTGGACCCCTAGGCAGGGAGGGGACTCCAAGAGCTCTAGTCCCGGGCAGGTGTGGGATGAGGGACAGAATGGGGTTTGAAAAGCTGCTCCGCCTTGAGCAAGCTGCTTGATCCCTCGAAACCTGTTTTTCATCTGGAAACTGGCCATCCTAATTGCACCGACCCCGTATTGCCCCGCCCAGCAAACAACAAGCGCTCAACAAAGACCGGCCCGGTGCCGGGGTACACACGGGGCTCCACAGGCACAACCAAGGAGAGGCACAGGGCAGACGGGCCCGACTTGGCCTCACTGCCCACCTGAACCTCAGAGGCAGCTCTCCCTGGTCTCCCCAGACCCCAATTCCTGCCTTCTTTTCCCCGACCTGCTGTACACCACTGCCCTGGCCCCTGCTCCACGACCCAGCCTGGCTTTCCAGCGGCCCCAGCTCCGTGACCCTGTCTACACTCAGCCTGGCTTTCCAGTGGCCCCAGCTCCACACCTGGGCACGCCCTTCCCCCTTCCTGACTTCCCTCCGTCTTCAGGATTGACCGCAGGGCCCCTCCTCCGAGAAGCCTTCCCTGTGGAGTCTCCTCATTCTGAAGGCACTTTGTATCTTCTGGTCAAAGCCCTCACCCCCAGGCTCAGGTGGCCATCTTCGCTCCCTGACAAGGATCAGAGCCCGGTCACCCCCCTCGCAGACGCCCAGCACAGCCGGGGCTGGTGGAGGATACTCTCCGCCGATCTACGTGGCACCAAACTGGCCTGCGCCGCCCCCCACCCCCGCCCCGAGCTCCTTCCTGTCCCTAGGGCAAGAAGAGCCACGGCTTTTCTCCCTAACCAGCCCTCAGGCACCCGAAGGGGCATGGCCAGTAAGTGGACTCAGAACAGGGTCTGGGAGACAGAGTGAGGTTGGGGTCCAGGACCAGAGCTCAGGACTGAGCCCTGTCCTCCTCCCTTCCCACTGCTCCTGCACCTCCATCCTTCTGCCTAACACACACACACACACACACACACACACACACACACACACACACACACCCGTTATCTCCTGCATGTCTCCCTCCTCCAGGAAGGTTTCAGGGAGATCTGCAAGTGCCTCTCCTCCACCTGAAAATTACCAAAGCTAACCTTTATGATACGCTTACTACCTGCCAGACTTTGGGACTAACCTCTGCTAATTATACCCATTTCACAGATGAGGTAACTGAGGCACAGAGAAGCTAAGAGGCAGAACCAAGATCTGAACCTTAACTTTTTTCTTTTTTTTCTGCTTCTTCCTGAGCACTGAGGGGCCGGGACCCCGTCATTCTCGCTGCTGGATCTCAGCCGCGGGTGTGGATTCTGTTAAAGAGAACCAGGTCCCGGAACCCGAGGTCCCCTGGAGGCGGGACAGTCTGCTCCTGTATGGCTCTGCCACATCTCAGCCTCTAGACCCTCACCTGGGACCTGGAAGCTGGGGCCCAGATCCCCGTGCACCGCGGCTGCTCAGCGCAGCCCAGACCGCAGCACCTCGGGGAAGGAGCACCAGAAAGATGCCTCGCTGGGAGGGGCCGTTTACTGCACGGTCTGTAGTCAACACGACAGTCCTGGGGTCACTGGCGGCTGCCGCACCCGCTCCAGAGGTGTGTGTGTGTGTGTGTGCAGGCAGACGAAGGGAGGGGAGTCGAGGGGCACCCACTGCCTTGGAGGAGCCGAGGTCTCAGCGGCAGCCCCCGTGGGAGCTCCCAGGGACAGCAGTCTCAGATTCTAGGGGTGTGTCTTGGGGGGGACTGGCCCCGGCGCCCCCTTGTTCCCCACTCCCTGCCCCCTGAAGAGTCAAATCGGTCAGGGTTCCTGGAAGAGTCACCCAGCAGGTTCTGGAGGTGGGGGAGGTGCCTGGGCCGGGCCCTTAAGGCACCCCCGGCTGCCTCCACGGCCCACTCCAGGGTCAGCAGCACCATGTCTGCCCGCACTTGTCCCTTCCTGGGAGCAGCGTCTGGAGATCCCCATTGTCCTGGGCTTGGCCTGGGTCCGAGTCAACTGGGGAGGAGGGGCTGGCGCTCCGAGGAGGTGGCCGTGTCCCTGTATATCAGGAACTGTATGGAGATCTGGAGGGGCCAACGTCAAGGCCAAACTGAGCAGAGGCTAAGACGGCCATGCTCTTCCCTCCCTCTCACCCCAGCCCTCCCTGAGAGGCCAAGATCTCAAGCTACAGCCCCCTCCCTCGAGGCTCTCGGGACAGCTGCCTCCAGGGTCCAGCTTGCACTCCTGTGGCCTGAAGGGACTGATTTCCCCAGATTCTTCAGGGCCTTTGCATAGGCTGAGTCGGAACCACCCCTCCCTTGCCTTTGCCTGACTCCGCTCTTCTCCTCCAGGCAGTTTAAGCGGCACTGCAGGGTCCCTGGCTGAGCTTCTAAACTAAGCCAGCCCCTGCGGTGACACCAGGCAGGTTTCCGGGCAGTGCCCAGCACCACCGTGGTGAAGTGTGTGCGGACCACCTCCGCCCCGAGCCGGGAGCTTCCTGGGCCACTCGGTTCTGGCTCGCTGCCGGATCCGGCGCCTAGCGGGGTGCTGGGCCCATGGAGGTTCACTCTGGATGGATGGGCGGGCGGATGGATGGGTGCTGAAGCCGCCTGCAGGTGGAGGCTGCTATGCCCGCCTCCTCCCCTGCCCCCACCCCCCGCCCCCCCAAACTCCGTCCCCCACTACCCCCAAAGGATACAACAGTGTCGAGCAGCAGCACGCCCAGGCTGCCTACGAGCCAGGGCAGGTGGTGCAGCAGGTAACTGCCCTCGTCCTCGCTCACCTCCGGGTTTTTGAGCAGCACGCTCAGCCCGTACAGCGTGTTCCCCAGCATCACCAAGGCGAACAGCGAGTAGGAGACGCCCTGCGTGGACTTCCTCAGGAACTGGGGGTAGGGGGCAAGGACGAGAGGCCTGGGACGGGGCTCCTGTCACGCTGCCCCATCCCACTGAGCAGGCTCTGGGCACGTTTCTCACCGTGCGCCTGGCAAGCACACCCACGACCTGTCCGGGGTCCGCGGAGACCCGGCCGCCCCCTGCCCGGGGCCCCGCCGACGGCCGCCTCTCCTGCCCCAGCACCCCTCACTGCCCCGCCAGCCTCCCCGGCCCCAGCAAGCCCCTTTCTCCCCTCTTCTCGGGACTGTTGGCTGAGCCCCTGCCTCCTCACCGGACCTCCTGATTCTCTGAGACACACACAGGACACCTGTGCCCCTCGAGACAGGCCTCCCCTGTGCCCACTTCGCAGAGGCCGAAACTGAGGGCTGGAGAACTGGATTCACTTGCCCAAGCCAACGGTGAGTTTGAACCCAGACCGTCTGCACCAAGACCCCACCCCTTGACCCGGAGGACCCCCGGCCCCGGCCCCAGGCTCACGTTGGTGCGGATCTGAGGCAGCCGGGAAAGCAGGTAGAGCACGCTGGAGACCGAGCCGATGACAAAGCCAACGATCTCCTGCTGAGTGAAGGGCTGAGAGGGCAGGCGCTGCTCAGGGCCCGGGCAGGGCCAGAGGTGCAGCGTGAGACCCCCGCTCCCTGGGGGAGGGGAGTGCCCTGGGGACGAGCCAGTCCCCCCCAGCCCGCCGGTCCCCTCAGCCCGCACTCCACCATCATTGACCCACACCTCACCTTACTGCCCGGCTCCACTGACAGGAGCGTCCGGCCCCGGAAGACCTCCCTCTGGGCGGCCACAGGGCCCGTGGTCCTCAGCAGCGGGGCGGCACACGCCAGCCCCAAGATGAACAGCAGCACTGAATTGATGGGGGTAGACACTGGACAGGAGACGGTTGGGGGGGGGAGCCAAGGTCAGGTAGCAGAGGCAGCAAACAGAGCACGACTTGAGTCCTGGCCTTGCCCTTCAGTGGCTGTGTGACTCCGGGCAAGTAACCCAACCTCTCTGAGCTTTAATGCCTCCTCTGTAGGATGGGTGCAGTAGCATCCTTCTCCTCGAGTTGTAAAGGAGAGACAAGGGCAGAGGGGATCACCAAGAGCAGAAATGCTCTTGAGACACCCCCAAGTGCCTCCATCTGCCCTCCACTCCCGGCCCCTCTCAATCCTCAAGGGCAGCGGAGACCGGTGTCCTTGTCCTCATCTCCTTAGCTCCAAGCCCAGGGCCAGGTACGGAGGAGCAGCTGAAGCCCCATTTGTGGAATGAGCCTCAAGAGGAGGGAGGTCCCTGTGGTTGCGCGGGGATGCGCAAGCCATCCTCCAGCCTCCCTCTCTGCGGTCTGGGACGCCGGCTCGCAGATAAGGCCCGTTGCTGCGATGATGACTGTGCAATGGGGAAGCCCACTTCCTCCCGCGCTCCCGGCCCCTCCCACTGCCCCATGCCCCACACGCACGCAGAGAGGGGCGCTTCTTAAACTTGTAGTGAAAGTAGAGGGACAGCATCACCAGGTCCGCCAGCACGTAGTACACCGCCGTGTAGGTCTGCAAGAGGAGTGGGAGCTCGTCAGCAGCTGTGGGGCCGATTGGCCTATTTCACCTCTCGGACCTTCTGTCTCCTCATCTGTCTGCCCCGCAGAAGCAGAGATCAGGCCAGCAGAGGGCCCGGCCTGGACGGAGGGAGGAGAGGTGGCCGGTGCTCCTCATCAGGGCAGAGTGGGACTCAGAGGTCAAGGGAGGGCTCTGGTTTGGCCCAGAGGGCGCCTTCTCCTGGGTGGGGTCTTCCCTCTGCCATGGTTGTCCCAGGCAGCACCCCCCGCATTGGACCCACCTGCAGGGGCAGCTGGTCAGCGAGGAAGGAGCCGATGAGGTTGCAGGAATCCCCTCCAATCCAGCCCAAAAGGAACCAAAGAGACAGCGCCTGGTCCATGTTGCCCGTCCTGCAGGCCTTGATGTACTGGCTGCGGCCGAGGAAGGAGACGCAGGCTCAGGGCAGGAGGGGGCCCAGGCCAGGGAGGCAGGGACGTCACCTGTGAGCCCATCCTGCTGGCAGGGGGAGCTTCGGGAGCCTCTTGGTGCCCCTTGGGGATTCTCACCTGCAGATTCTCTTCCAACCAGGGAACTCAGTGGCAGCTGCATCTTTCCAGAAGCATCCACAGCATTCCTCAGACTCCCCTCCAGAGCACCCTAGAGTCTCCCAGCAGGGACCTGGCGTTTTGTGTCAGGCCCTGAGACCTGTCACAGGGACCCTGCATTCTTTCTTTCATGGAGGGAAAGGGGGGTGGCTGTGGCAGGGACTCGTGGCCTGGCACTGCCCTATCTACAGGAGCGGTTGATGATAAGATGGGCCAAACCACAGCCTGTGACCTTCAAAGGGCAATGTGGCAGGGCTGGGCTATGGCCTGAGTTTGACCTCAGGGCTTTGGATAACCTGGTGGTTTGTATTTTTGGTTGTTTTTTTTGTTTTTTTTTAAGATTGTATTTATTTATTTGACAGACAGAGATCACAAGTAGGCAGAGAGGCAGGCAGAGAGAGAGGGGGAAGCAGGCTCCCTGCTAAGCAGAGAGCTCAATGCAGGGCTCGATCCCAGGACCCTGGGATCATGACCCGAGCTGAAGGCAGAGGCTTTAACCCACTGAGCCACCCAGGCGCCCCTGGTGGTTTTTCTCAAAGGCCAAGTGTCAGCACGAGCTCCAGGCTGACAACAGGTGTTAAAGGGTTTCAGGCAGAGGTCTGACTATGAACTCTTTCAGTCCTGCAGACTACTCCCCCCACCCAGGGCAGATCTAGTCCCTGATGCTCCTCCCAGGGCAGGGAGACTCAGGGCACACGGAGGCCAGAAGCCAGGGTTGCAGCCAGACCCTGAGCCCTCCCTCTCTGCACCTCTATGCAACTGCCATTTGCTCTTTTTCTGTTAATTTTTTTTTTATAAAGATGTATTTATTGGGGCACCTGGGTGGCTCAGTGGGTTAAGCCTCTGCCTTCGGCTCAGGTCATGATCTTAGGGTCTTGGGATCGAGCCCCGCATCAGGCTCTCCGCTCAGTGGGGAGCCTGCCTCCTCCTCTCTCTCTGCCTGCCTCTCTGCATACTTGTGATCTCTGTCTGTCAAATAAATAAATAAAATCTTAAAAAAAAAAAAAAGATGTATTTATTTATTTGAGAGAGAGCGAGCTAGAGCACAAGTGGGGGGTGGCAGGAGAGGGAGAGAGACAGAGGGAGAGAATCCCAAGCAGGGTCCGTGCTGAGCTCCAGGCCCGACATGACCTGAGCCGAAACCAAGAGTCAGCCGTTTACCCGACAGAGCCACTCGGGCATCCCTCATCTGTGTGTATTTAATTAAAAAGGGGACTAAATGGCACTTAATCTTTCCCAAGACCCAAGTCAGAAACTGAGAATGCCGGGTATGGCCCTGGTTCTTCCCATGGCCAAGCTTCTTCCTCCTCCTCCTCCCGTGGACACCCTCCTGCCTCCACCCCACCCCCCACCCAGTCTGAGTGCCTCTCTGTCCTACCCAAGCTTGGTTCCCCCTGAACCTGTCATCCCTCTCAAGGATCTTTCCAAAGCCCCTGGCTGGCTGCAGTCATTTCGAGCCTCCCGCTGCTCTTCAGGGGAGCCCCCAGAGCCAGCTGTCCCCCTGCCGCCGCCCCCAAGGGGGACTTATTTCCCTTTCTCCAGACTCATCAGCAGCCAGCCTACGCCCTCCTCTTCCCCTTTGTCTTTCATGGCTCAGGAAATCTCACTTCCTCCCCACAGCCTTCCTTGACACAAGCTCGCCAGTGTCCCCTACTTCCTCCTTGGTACCATGGGACATCCTTGTCCCTCCTGGACTCAAGCCTCCTGAGGTCAGGAAGAGTGTCCAGCTCAAGCCTGGCACCAGGGAGGCCCCTCATTAAGGTGTAGCCTATGGCCCTTAAAGCCCCTTCTAGGACATGCGATTTGGCCTTCCTGCCTCAAGTCTCGCTCCCTGTCGCTCCAGTCCTTCCCTGTGACTCCCAGACGGCCTTTTAAAGATGGCTGGAATGGAAGCTCTGCAAAGGCAAGGACGGCATCTGTTTTGTTTACTTGCAACATACCTACTATGGCACCGGGAACAAGCTAATTCAATGAAAATGTCAAGTCCACAATGAGGTAGTATGATAACTCCGTGGGAAAAATACCATCTTTGAAACACAGGGTACTGGGACAACCAGCCATCTCCATGCAAAAGAATGAGACTGGACCCCTACCCCATACCATATACAAAATATAACTCAAACTGTAGCAAAAACCCATTAAAAAGAAAACCACAGGCCCAAGATGGAGTCACTTAGGCCAAATCAACAGAGGCTTAATAACTAACCTAATCACACAGAAATGTAGTCTTAATGGGTCAGGAATTTTCTGGCTGGTAGCCATGAGGTAATCTATCACCTCACTATCAATCATGGAGATGGCCCTCTCCATCCCCCACAAAGGAAGATGAGATCATCTACTAAGACCCCCTACAGGAAAGTGAACTTGCCTGATATAATCCTTCCTCCCTCAGTAATTTCTTGCCCCAGCCTCTTTCCTATAAAACCTTCCATTTTATAAAACTCTTGGGAACATCTCTCTGTTTGCTAGATGGGATGCTGCCCAATTCCTTAATGGCTTGATAACATCGACTGTGTCTTCAAATTTAGTCAGCAGAATTTTGTCGGTTAAGTATCAGAGACTTGATTTGGCTCAGGTCATGATCTCAGGGTTCTGAGATCGAGCCCCACTTCGGGCTCCATGCTGGGCTTGGAGCTGCTTACAATTCTCTCTCTCCCTCTCACTCTGCTGAAAGAAAGGAAAAGGAAAGAAAAGAAAAGGAAAAAGAAAAGAAAAAAAAAGAGAGAAGAAAAGAAAAGAACATATGTGTTTTCACCCCATCCCTGGCAGAGAGTTCCTAAAACTCTTGGAATTTCCTAAGTGATTTGAGCAATAAAGGTGCATTTGTTAGTTAATGAGGTGACTTTTGGAAAGCCTCAGTGTGCCCTAAAGATGCGGGCTGGCTGCCATGATGTGATGAAACCCTTGGAACTTTCAGTCCCATTCCCCTGACCTCCGGGGAGCGGAGAGGGGCTGGAGACAGAGTTCAATTGCCACTGGCCAATGATGTCATCAATCATTCCTGTGCAGTGAAGCCTCCAGAAGAACTGGAATGGACAGGTTCAGAGAGCTTCTGGGTCAGTGAACGTGCTCAGGGATAGTGGCGCCCCGGGAGAGGAACCGGAAGCTCCTCGTGCCCCCGTCCGCATTCTCTGCCCCGTGCATCTCTCCCATCTGGCTGTTCCCTGTATCCTTTCGTAAAACACCAGTGATCTACTGAGTCAAATGTTTCTCTGACTTCCGTGAGCTGCTCTAGCAAATTAATCAAACCCAAGCAGGGGCTTTGTTGGGACCTCCAGTCTGTCCACACCTGTCAGAAGCAGAGGTGACAACCTGAACTTGTGACTGACCTCTGAAGGGGGAGGGGCAGTCCTGTGGGACTGAGCCCTTCGCCTGTGGGATCTGATGCTGTCCCACAGTATACAGTGTCTGAATGGCGTTAAATGTGTGGCGGCGTGGGAAAAAATACACATGGACACTGGCATCAAAATCAGGTAAATCGGGGCGCCTGGGTGGCTCAGTGGGTTGAGCCGCTGCCTTTGGCTCGGGTCATGATCCCAGGTCCTGGGTTCGAGCCCCGCATCGGGCTTTCTGCTCAGCGGGGAGCCTGCTTCCTCCTCTCTCTCTGCCTGCCTCTCTGCTTACTTGTGATTTCTCTCTGTCAAATAAATAAATAAAATCTTAAAAAAAAAAATCAGGTAAATCTATAAAATCTTTCAAGGAAAAGATAATACAAGAGGGTTTGACTAGCCCCACTCTGACCTCAAACTTTCTATACTTCATTTTTAAGTAGACTCCACACCCAGCACAGGGCTTGAACTCACCACCCTGACATCAAGACCTGAGTCAAATTCTAGAGTCGGAGGCTTACCTGACTGAGCCACCCAGCTGCTCCTTGACCTCAAACTTTCTAACTGATTAAGTTCTTCTTTCTAGTTTATTCCTTAACTCAGGCAGAAGACCCCGTGGGCAAAGGATCCCGGGAAGGGAACTGGAACTACCCGCTGAAGCAACAAGGACCGCCCTGGGTCCGGGAGACCCAGAGTGACGGAGCCCAGGACCATGACCGAGCGGACTTCACCGCCCCCCTGCATGTACCCACCGGCCATCGTCCCCCACTTTCCTTATATAATTCTGGAAGGACTGTCAGCACTTGGGAGACAGTCTACACCAGCTCGTGGGTTTCCTGGTGTTGGCCTCACAGAGATAAATCCTTTTCTCGTTTCACCCCCACCCACGTCTCTGCCATTGGCTTTGGTCGGCGGCCAGTGGCTGAACTTGATCTGCTGCCCCCTCCCCGCCAGATCCAGATGCTCTTGTGTCCCTGTGCCCCGGTTACAATCAGGGGAACATCTCTGTCCCTTGGATAAGGTGACGATGTTTTTCTAGATATGACACCAAAGCACAAGCGAAAAAGAAAAAAAGAGATAAACTGTACATCATCCAAATGCAGAGCTTCTGTGCTTCCGAGGACGCAATCAAAAAAGCGAAAAGAGAACCAGAGAACGGGAGAAAATATTTGCAAATCGTGACGCTGTTGTATCCACACTATATAAGGAACACTTGCAACTGAGGATGCCTGGGTGGCTCAGTCGGTTCAGGGCCTGCCTTCAGTTCAGGTCATGATCTCGAGGTCCTGGGATGGAGCCCCACATCAGGCTCCTTGCTCAGCTGGGGGCCTACTTCTCCTTCTCCCTCTGCCCCTCCCCACCATTCGTACTCTCTTTCTCTCTCTCACAAATAAATAAATAAAATCTTTAAAAAAAAAAGAACTCTTACAATTTAACAACAAAAGGGCAAATAATCCAATTGAAAAATAGACAAATGGGGGCACCTGGGTGGCTCAGATGGTTAAGCCTCTGCCTTCAGCTCAGGTCCTGATCCTGGGGTCCTGGGATCAAGCCCCACACGGGACTCCTGGCTCAATGGGGAGCCTGCTTCTCACTCTCCCTGTACTGTCCCCCCTGCTTGTGCTCTCTCGCTGTTGAATAAATAACTAAAATCTTAAAAAAAAAAAAAAAATAGGGCACCTGGGTGGCTCAGTGGGTTAAGCCTCTGCCTTCAGCTCAGGTCATGGTCTCAGGGTCCTGGGATCAAGCCCCACATCGGGCTCTCTGCCCAGTGGGAAGCCTGCTTCCCCCCCACCTGCCTCTTTGCCTACTTGTGATCTCTGTCAAATAAATAAATAAAATATTAAAAAAAAAAAAGAACAGACAGAAAGTACGCATTGATGAGGATATAGACGCACTGGAACCTCACACGCGAGAGAATGGAAATGGTAAAGCCTCTTTGAAAACCGGTCTGACGGTTCCCTGTTAGAAAGAAAACCACAGAAGGTGCCCAGCTGGCTGGCAGAGTCTGTGGAGCACGAGACTCTCGATCTTGGAGTTGTGAGTTCGAGCCCCATGTTGGATGTAGAGATTACTTAAAAAAATAAAATAGGGTGCCTGGGTGGCTCAGTGGGTTAAGCCTCTGCCTTCAGCTCAGGTCATGATCTCAGGGTCCTGGGATAGAGGCCCATATCGGGCTCTCTGCTCAGCGGGGCGCCTGCTTTCTCCTCTCTCTCTCTATGCCTGCCTCTCTGCATACTTGTGATATCTCTCTCTCTCTCTCTCTGTTTCAAATAAATAAATAAAATCTTAAAAAAAAATAAAATAAAATCTTAAAAAAATATACACACACACACACACACACACACACAGAAAACCAGGGGTGCCTGGGGGAGCTCAGTCGGTGAAGCATCTGCCTTCACCTCAGGTCATGATCCCAGGGTCCTGGAATCAAGTCCTGCACCGGGCTCCCTGTTCAGGCGAGAGTCTGCTTCTCCCTCCCTCCGCAGCTCCCCCTGCATATGCTCTCTCTCTCTCCTGTCTCTCTCAAATAAATAAATAAATAACATTTTAAAAGATCATAATAAAAAATAAATAAACTTGCTCCTTGAACGCATTAAAAAAGAAAAAGGAAAAAAGAAAACCAGAGGCCCCAAATGACATCACTAGGGCTAGGCCGAGTCATGAAATCGGGCTTAACAATGTTTTTTTAAACATCCTTGAAAGATTAAACATAGCATTACCCCATGACCCAGCAATTTCACTATGTAAGCATATACCCAAAAGAAGTCAAAACATATGTGCCCACAGAAACTTGCACAGAATGTTCACAGTAGAGACAAAGCCATATCCATCAGTGACCGGCTGAGTAAACGGTGGCTTGTCGCACAGGGAACATTACAGCGACGGCACGGGGGAGTCTTAAAGAGGTTCTGTTAAGGGGAAGAAGCTGGACTTTCACATGCTCTCTGATTCCATTTACAGGAAATGTCCAGAGTCGGCAAATCTACATCGACAGGAGGAAGAGGGGTAGTTGCCCGGGGCTAGGAGCTCTGGGCGAAATCTGGGATGACTCATTTCTTTGGGGGTTTCTTTTTAGGGTGATGGAAGTATTCTAAAATGCATTTTGGCATTGGTTACACAACTCTGCGGATACACTAAAAACACTGAATTATACATGTAAATGGGCTAATTCTATGGTATGTGGACTATCTCTCCATAAAGCCATTTTTAGAAAATGCTGAGCTCCTGATTAAAGCCTTATCTTTCTCCCTCAGGATAAAGCACCCATTTCCTAACAGTGGAGAAGCCTCACAGCACAGTGTCCTCGGTGACCTCTCCGACCTCCCTTCTCCCCAGGGCCCCTAATGCCCACCCCCTCCAACCAGCCACAGGATTGTGCCCACATAGTGCAAAGGCCCCAGGTCCTTCGTGCCGTCCTCACGGCAAGCCTGGGAGGTCAGCAACACCGTGCCCATTTTGCAGATGAGCAAGGTGAGGTACAGAGCAGCAAAGTGACTCCCCCAGGTCACAGCATGTCCCTGTTCCTCAATCACAACAGTGGTCACACTCTCTTGTAATCACCGCTCGCCCACCCATCACCAGACTGTCACAGGACAAGGCATCTCAGCCCTCCCACCCCCTGCTTTCTCTCTTCTTAGCTGTACAACCTAGAGCAAGTGACTTAGCCTCTCTGGCTTTCTGTTCCCTCCTAAGTAGGGACAGTTACACGGTTATGAGGCTTAAACGAGGTAAAAAATGACAAGTGCTCAGAACTGAGGTATGTAGCGTGCACTGAACAAACAGCAAGGGTTAATACTGTTACTGTCACCTGTGTGTTGGCCTCGGCCAGCACAACGTGGGGCCTAGGCGGGGCTTCAGGGTAGGGTCCTCCAGGGTGTGCTGGAAATCAGTGAGTGGGAGTGGAGGAAAGAGTACATTTGGCCTTGAGTCTGGAGAGGCCCAAGGCAGGTCAGGCAGACCCCTCCTCCAGGCAGTGCCTGAAGCCATGGCCCCAGCCCGCTCCCCTGTCCTGGTCCCGCCCCCCTGCCACCACTCACGGGAAGGTGGATGCTGCAAAACAGACAATCGAGATCAAGCCCAGGCCCACACTGGCCTCATCCCAGCCGTCCTGGGCGCATTCGCCGAACACGTCCCATATCCACCGGCGGGAGCCATTGGGGCAGTCGGAGAAGTTGCCGGAGCCCAGTTTCTTCCAGACCATGGCTGCTGCAGGATGGGGGGACGACTGCACAGGGAGAAAGAGGGGGGGCCTTTAGCCTCGGCAGGTCTGGATCCTGTCAGCGCCACCTCCAGCAATGCCCACCCCCCAGTTTCATTGCCCGGCACAGACTGAGCCTCTGAACCCGAGGGCACAATCAGCTTCAAGTACACACACCACCTGTGCGGGGGCAGTGCTAGATCGGCAGCCAGGGACAAGTGTGTTCAAATGTCAGTTTTAGCACTGGTCAGTGCTGCGACTCTGGGCAAATGCCTCAGCCTCCCTGTGCCTCAGTTCCCTCATCTGTAAAAGGGGTCATCACAGTGTCTCCTTCATGTCCTGCCCCTTACAGGAGTTCATACAATGAACCCGCAGCATCACTTTGTTACAACTCTCCAGTTTACATTGTTTCCGATCTCTTGTTCTGTAAATTACATCTATAGAGACCAGCCCCCATTAAGTATTTTCTCACTGAAAGCAGGACTGGGGTGCCTGGGTGGCTCAGTCATTAAGTGTCTACCTTTGGCTCAGGTCATGATCCCAGGGTCCTGGGATCAAGCCCCACATCGGGCTCCCTGCACAGTGGGAAGCCTGCTTCTCCCTTTCCCACTTTCCCTTACTTGTGTTCCCTCTCTCACTGTGTCTCTCTGTCAAATAAATAAATAAAATCTTTTAAAAAAATTTAAAAAAGAAAGAAAAGAAAGTAGGACTGTCACCTACAGAGGGTCAGAGAAGGCAGATGGAGAATAAGAGCCAGGTGGGTCCAGGGCTTGCACAGGTGGCTGGCACTCAAGCGTGGCACTCAAGCAGAATTCTCCAGGAGCAGCGTGAGCGGGATAGGGTACCTGATGCCAAGGCGACCAGGGCCACTTCCCCGTTCAAAGCCCAAAGTGGCTGGTTGCAGGGCAGGCAGGAAAGTCCCCTCCCAATGCCCAGGCAGCCTGCACAGTGACTATAGCACTCACTGTCTGTGCGACAGTCCCAGAGAAGGGACAGAAAGCGGAGCCAGACGGCGCCATCTCCACCAGGCGAGACTCACCACAGTCCCTGATTACGAAGCTCTTCACCAGCCCTGGGCTAAATACCTTGCAGGCATTTTACTCATTTTGCCCTGTTCAACTTCATGAAGGGGGCGGGGGAGCTCCAAATATATCCAAGGAACCAGGGAAGTGACTTGCACCCAGCCAGGAAGAGGCAGAGGCAGGAGCCAAACCCAGGATGGGCCCCAAACCGCGACTCCTAGCCACCCTGCCATGCTGCCTAAGGTGCTTCTGGCCCTGGATATGGCAGACCCCCCCCCCCATCTGTGGTCTGGGTGACTGTCCAAGCGCCCCAGCAGCCAGAAGGCAGGCTTCCCCTGTGTGTGTCCCCCCGTGCTCAGAGGCTTTCCTGGCCGGCCTGGGATCCTCTCCAGCTACCTTCCGTTTCTCCCTCTGCCTGCTGCTCCCCCTGCTTGTGTGCTCATGCTCTCTGTCAATAAATAATTAAAATCTTAAAAAAAAAAAGAAAACCAAGTCCTTTTGTCCCCCGGTCACCCCCCAACGCCCTTTTACAGATTCTGAGTGTGCCGCTCCCTCTCCCCACTATAATACACTGTCACCCTCGTATTTTTACCGTGAGCTGGGGGAGACTGCCCCCATTTTCCAGGTACGGTTGGGTCGCCCTGCCCAAGTGAGGAACCTGTCTGAGCCTGTCTGTGAAGTGGGAGTGATGACACTGGCTCCTTGGGGTTGGTGGTAGAGATGAAATGCAGGCAAGGAAGGTTCTCGGCCCCAGGCCTGACCAAGCCCTGCCGGGGCGGTGTCGTGAGGATGAGAGGCCAGGAGCTCAAACACCCTGTGGCCACTCTCTCGCTCCCTTTCCACCAGGTGAGGGAGGAAATGAAAGGAACGCATGCCCAGTGAGGGAAGGGGGTGTCTGGATGATTGTAGCTTGGCTCACAGGGCCCAGAGCACAGGGCAGGTGCTCCCTGATCTCCCATAAGCACATAAGCACAGCTGGGGACACTGAGACACGCCTGAATCCCGACCAGAAGGGGCTGTCCTCTGGGGGCCGCTGCACACAGGACCCATCATCTGGAGGTCCCAACCCAGCTAGGGAGTCAGCCTGGCCCCAGGCCTGGGTTCTGGGAATGGGCCCACCTCCTGGTCAGACAGCACTGTGAGGATGGATGTCCAGGGTTGCAACAAAGTTTGACTGCATCCAGAGATTTGACAAGGACCACAGCAGGGGCGGGTGCCTTGGAACCACGGAGGGCACGTGCCCAGAATTCAGGCTCAGTGCCTCTGGACTTCAGATCACAGCCTTTGGGTTTAAGAAGCAACCCCAGGGGCACCTGACCGGCTTATCTCGTAGACCATGCAACTCTTGATCTCAGGGTTGTGAGTTCAAGCCCCATGTTTGGTATAGAGATTACTTAAAAGTAAACCCTTAAAAAAAAAAAAAAAAGGCAACCCCAGCTGATTCTGATGCACTTGGCCATGCTTTGGGAAAACCTACACTGGAGAAGGCATCTCAGGCCACACCCAAGCTCTCCTACTGGATCCCAAGATGAGTCAGGGAGATGCTTCCCGTGAAAGCTTTCTAGGGAAGCAGCAGGCCTCCAGGCTTCTGCACATGTGGTCTTTTCCCTTAGGAGTGTCCTTCTCTCCCTGGAAGTCCTGGTAAGGAGACACAGTTCTAACATGCCATCTCAAAGATGCCTTGCAAAGGCTGGCTGGAGGACACCTGGTCACCTCTTCCCTCCCCCTTCACATAGCTGAAGAATGCTTATCACAGTCCTCAGCTACTCCGGCTCCTCAAGTCCACACCCCTCCCTTCACCCTAGCTATGACTGACTCTCGCTGCCAGCAACACCAGCTGCACCATAAAGGTTCAGACAGTGCTGAGGAAGAGAGAGGAGACAGAGAAAGAGGGAGATAGACAAGAAAGGGAGGGAGGGGGACAGAGAAAGAGGGACAGACAGGGAAGGAAGGAAAGAAGGAAGGAAACAAACTAGCTGTGAGCTCAGATGACCTAAGTTTGAGGAGAGAGCACTAGGGAACTGACCTGCTTAATGCCCACAGCATAGAATTCCAGGGCAAGTGACAGCCTCAGAATTCCAGTCTATACAATGGGGGGATAACCTATGTACCCACCTCCTAGGCCGACCGCAGAATTAAATGACAGGATCCAGGCCAAGGGATTAGAATGGTGCCTGGCAGAGATTAAACACTCAGTAGGAATAGCCAGGGATGGGTATTACTCTGCTTTGGTTGTAGCATGTCTCCCCACCACCTTCCCTGAGACCCTGGGGCAAAGCAGCCTTTGGTTAAGGGTTGCAGGGACAAGACGCGCGCCAGTCCTGACACTTCCAAACCCAGCCTCCCCACGTACACACTTCCCAACTTGTCCCAGGCCTGAGGAGGGGAGAGCAATCTGGGATCCCTATAAAACCATGGCGTAGGTGGAGGGGAGGGGAGTCCCCACTGGCGGCCCACCCCCTCCAGGCCTCCGAGTCCTTGGCCACCTGGTGACTAAGGCCAGCACGGGCCACCTGTTTGGCAGGGATAATGACAGGGCAGCTGCTGGGGTCAGCGCTCAAACGCCGCGAGGCCCCCTCCCCTGCCTGCCCTGGGGAAAACAAAGCCGTCGGAAACGATGGGGCCCGTCCGCCGGAACTAGGAGGTGAAAAGAGGACCCAGACCCCAAACCCTGGCCAGGCTGGTCCGAGACCATGCTCAGGAGGGGGACGTAGGCCCCCGAGGGTCCAGCTAATCCCGGCCCAGAGCCTCGTCTGCGAATCTCGCGCCGCAAGGAGGGGACAGAAGCCCCAAAACGGTCCAGGGACTGTAAGAGGTAGTTGGAAAGATGTGGCAGCGACGCACATGCGAGTCCTGACCCGCAGCCTTCAGGCTTGCCCCCAGCCTCAATCCCGGCTCACCGTGTCAAGTTCCGCCGCGGATCCCGGCTTCTGCGCTCTGCCTGCACTGCCTGGGTCAGCTGACCCGAGGCCCCGCCTCGTCCCGCCCCGCCCCCGTCCCGCCCCCGTCCCTGTGAGGCGTGGCTCCGCCTCCTCCGCCGCGCGCAGAGCGGACAGTCCCTGGGGGCGGTGAATACGGCGAGAGAGAACCGAGCGTGCGCGGTGGGGCGGCGCGCGGCCAGTCCTTGCTCTCTCCTCGCCTCCCGGCTCCACCCCCACGGCGGGGTGGGCGGGACGCGAGGCGCCCCAGGGCGCAGGCGCAGACCTCATGCTAAGCGCCTTGTCTCGCGCAGTGGCCCGGGGAGCGGTGCGCTGCGCCGGCGGTTCCCCGGCGCCCGAGCTTCGCGCCGCTGCCGCTACCAACGCCGCCACCATGTCCCGGCCGCTGTCGCCGCCGCGGGCCGCTTCCGGGGCCCCGGTGCGGCCCGCCACCGTGCTGGGCACCATGGAGATGGGGCGCCGCATGGACGTGCCCTCCAGCGCCGCGGCCGTGCGCGCCTTCCTGGAGCGCGGCCACACAGAGCTGGACACGGCCTTCATGTACTGCGACGGCCAGTCCGAGAGCATCCTGGGCGGCCTGGGCCTTGGGCTGGGCGGCGGCGACTGCAGAGGTAACCCCTACCTCCCCCTGCACGGTGCGGCGTCCACCCGACCCCGGCCGCCGTCACGACCAACGGTTTCGGCCCCTCCGGGGCGCTGACTGCCCCGCGGACCCCTCCCGCCTGCTCCTCAGTCCCCGTGCACGTGTCGCCCCGGACAGCCAGACAGATCTTTGTCCTGACCTCCTTTCTCTCCCCTTCTCTTTCCTCTGGGAGTTGCAGTCAGGAACCGCCCTCCGCCCCCAGTCTTACCCCGAGGCTGGTCTAGTTCTTCGTTTCCTCCCCGCCTTGCTTCTTGGGGCACCTCTCTGCGGCAGCGGTCCCCAGAGCTATGCAGTACCCCCTCCAACCCTGTCAGGTGCCCCCAAATCGCCCCTCTCCCCATTGCTCTCACCGCCCATGGCTCCCTGAGTACCCTCTTCTCATCCTGGCCTTTCATCACATCAGTCCGTAGACTTTGCTCTGTTCAGCTGGCAGTACCTGGCTCCCAGAGGGACCTGCAACTAGGTCACGAAGGAAGCTGGGGGATCGGGGTGGAATGCGGAGTGGGGAGGTTTGTTATGGGGCTATAAGAGGGAGAGTGGGTCCACCCCACCCGCAGGGAGCTTAGTGTCTAATGAGGAAGCTTGAATCGGGGAAGAGGAAACACTTTGGAGGGATTAAGGGGTTAGGGAGAGGCATGAGAGAAGGTTCAGAGAACACTGGAGCTGGGCCTTAAAGGACCAACGGTAGTTCGCTGGGAAGAGAATGGGAGACAGCTGCATCAAAGCTGAGGGCAGGGCTGTGCAGACCAGGTTTGGAAATGCAGCCTCTGGTACGTGCAGGGACAGCCAGTACACAGGTGCGGCTTGAGTGGAGGATATCAGTGCATGACAGGGACTGTCCCTCATTAGCCTGATTCCCTTGGAAATGCCTGGCACTTGGTAGCAATATAGGAAAGTGGGATTTGGAGCCAACGGCAAGGAAAGAATTCTTGAGATTCTTGAAACTTCTTCTGTGCCAAAAGATGCTTTTATCAAAGCCTGGGGACAGGCCTGGTGCGCAGAAAGAATACCACTGGGGCTGTGATGGGTGACTGATTATATTCTTTCAAGGTGGGAAGGTGTTTGGGACAGCACAAGCCCCCAGGGTATTTTGGAAACAAGGTTTCCAGGACCTTGAGGGGGCTAGCTATTGCTGGGAAAAGGTCATGGGGCACCTGGGTGGCACGGTTGGTTAAGTCAGTTGGTTCCTTGAGCTCGCATGTTGGGCTCTGTGTTCAGTGCGGATTCTGTTTAAGATTCTCTCCTCCCTCAGCCTTTTCCCCCTAAAATAAATAAAATAAATCTTAAAAAAAAAAAAAAAGGAAAAGTTCATTTATTACCGTTTAGTAAAAACTCAGTCATGAGGCCCTTCAGATGTGTATCGGTCAGTCATATGCCTGGAGGATCATTACCGACATGTCTTGCGGGGGTAGAGATAAAGGAAGTTTCTGAAAGAATTTTTATATGTTAAAGTAGGCTTACAGGATCCTGGAGAAAGAGGGAAGTGGTCAGACTAAGATTACCTCTTGCCTTTAGCAAAGTATTAACATCGAGGCAGCTGAGTTCCAAGAGGCATGTCCCTCTGCCTGTTTCAAGGACATGTCAGGAAATTTAATTTTTTCTTTTGCCTTTTGTCTCCCACATCTGTGGGCCCAGTAAATGTTCACTGTTACTCTTACTACCATCCTCTGCTTCTTCCTTTCCGCCCCTCCCGGCTCTTGTGCAGAACCCCGCTTTGGGTTCTCCTCAGATTTGGAGCTTGGTAGATGTGGAGGAAGCTGTCAGACCCATGCTTTCTAGTGAACCCAGCTGCCCCCTCCTTAATAATGGAGGTTTTGTTTCTGAATTGGTTTTTCTCCTCCAGCCCTCTCTGCGGCCTGAGCCAAAGTCCGCAGGTTGGACTGGAGGCAGAGTTCACACCCAGAGTGCAGAGGATTTGAGAACTGTGGGGACATGGAGAAAATGTGCACAAGAAGCTGTGGGACTGGTTCTCTCCCACATCCCAAGGAGTCATGTGCCTCCCCTCTGACCTGCTGAATTGCCTTTGCCGCACGTGAAAAGTGCACAATCCAGACACAATGAGCTTGGCAGAACACTGTTTGCCAAGAATACTCGGCAGAACACTGTTTCCTTCTCATGGGGATTGTGTCTCGGCTGTGGGTGGGGTGTGTGCCTGTGCACGCTTCTCAGAGTCAGAAGGGGCAGGGGAGCGAGCCCAGCTTCTGCTCCTTTGACATAGTACCTGTCTCTCAGGTTGATCTGTGCCCGAGGCGCGCGCTGGGGCTGCTGCATCTAAGCAGAATTCTCGCCGCAGCCTCTTGCCTCCCTGTTGCCAGGCCTGCCCCCTCAAGTTCCCTCCTGAACACAAACACAGTAAACATAGCTGACTTTGGTTGATGGGATTTGAGAAAAGCGTTAGCAGTTAGGTCTGCCACCCTTCTCTTGTCCCCTGTCCCCTGTTCCCGGCCTGGGCCCGGAGTCGATGCTCTTAAAACTCCAAATTGCAGGGATGGGCCTCACGTACTGTGTGTGTGCCTTTCTGACTCTGCCCATCTTCCCAGGCTCGGGAATATGCTTCCTACCCTTCCCTGTTGGGGGGGGTCTCATTCTTAGAGACTCAGCTCCCGGGTCATCCCCATAGGATGCCCTCCCTGGTATTCCCAGGATGGCCACACCCTCTGTTCTGGGCTCCTTTAACACTGGGGGCCTTCCTCTGTTGTGCTTACCTTACAACTTCACCTTTAGGCTGTGAGCTCCTTGAGTGGAGGGAGCAAGTGTGTCTCCCGGCAAGCCCCGGCTGAGTGACTACTAGTGATTGTAACAGTGGTGGACATTGAGAACTTACATATTTAATGCTCATGATCTCCCTGTGAGGACAGTTGTGTTGCTATACCCCCATTTTACAGATGAGAGAACTGAGGCTCAGAGAACTGAAATAATTTAGACAGGGTCACCTAATAAGCCTCCTAACCATTGCACACTCCCCTCAAAGTGAAAATCGCTACCAAGGCCAATCCCTGGGAAGGGAAGTCGCTGAAGCCTGACAGTCTCCGGGCCCAGCTGGAGACGTCCCTGAAACGGCTGCAGTGCCCCCGGGTAGACCTCTTCTACCTACACGCCCCAGACCACGACACCCCCGTGGAGGAGACGCTACATGCCTGCCACCAGCTGCACCAGGAGGTGAGGCCAGCCCCCGAGCCTCCAGGAGAGTGGAGGCACCAGGGTCATCCCAGAGCGGAGCCCACTCCCAGGGTCCCCACCCCCATCTCCCCTTTGTAGTGTCCTGGGTCGCGGTGGGTTCTGACCGAGGCCTCTCCCCTGCAGGGCAAGTTCATGGAGCTTGGCCTTTCCAACTATGCCTCCTGGGAGGTGGCCAAGATCTGCACCCTCTGCAGGAGCAACAGCTGGATCCTGCCCACTGTATACCAGGTGAGGGCCCGGGCCGCGGGGGCCCATCTGCAGGGCTGCTGCTGATGCGCGGTTCTCCTGGCCCTTCCCACTGCCTCCTGTGTCCTCTCCATGGCAGCCTATGGATGGCTCCCAGGGGCCGTGGGGATGATTTGCGATCTCCTCAGCTTGGCTAGCAGGCACCTGCTGGCTCTGGGCCTGGCTCCCCTTCCTGCCTGCATGTGCTGCTTGGGCCCTTCCTTCCTGCTCTCTGGCTGTGGGCATGAGCCTGGACCAGCCTTCCCCTTCTCCCGGGTAGGGGTGAGTGCTCAGGGCTCACTTGGTGGGCTCGTCCCCTGGAAGCCTTTCCCAATGCCGAGAGGAGCCTCCAGTACCCAAACGTCATGCATCCAGTGAGGATTTTTGAGCACCTGCTGTGATCACAGAACCCCCCTCTCTCGTGATCGGCTGTCTTCTTTCTGTGCGGGTGTATCTCTTTGACTGAAGTATAGTGACAGAGTGTTATATTAGTTTCAGGTGTGTGACATATTAGTCTGTGCGATGCTCTGCTCCCTACAAGCGTGGCCACTGTAGGTCAACATGCAGGCTGTTACGATGCCGTCTACTCTGGTCCCTCTGCTCTACCTTTCATCCCTGCACCTTACTCAATCTGTAACTGGAAACCTGTACCTCCCACTGCCCGTCCTCCCTTTTGGCCCAACCCCCAACTCCTTCCTCCCGACAACTGGCAGTTTGTTCTCTGTGTATATGGGTCTGTTTCTGCTTTTTTGTTTTTTCATTTGTTTTGTTTTTAGATTCCACGTGTAAGTGAAACCATACGGTATTTTTCTTTCTTTGGCTTATTTCACTTACCATACTCTAGGTCCTTCCCTATCATGACAAAAGGCAAGATCTCCTTTTTTTTTTTTTTTTAAAGATTTTATTTATTTATATGACAGACCGGGATCATAAGTAGGCAGAGAGGCAGGCAGAGAGAGAGGGGGAAGCAGGTTCCCCGCCAAGCAGAGAGCCTGATGTGGGGCTCGATCCCGGGACCCTGGGATCATGACCTGAGCCGAAGGCAGAGGCTTTAACCCACTGAGCCACCCAGGCGCCCCCTCCTTTTTTTTTTTTTTTAAATTTAAGATTGTATTTATTTATTTGACAGAGTGAGAGAGATCATAAGTAGCCAGAGAGGCAGGCAGAGAGAGAGGGGGAAGCAGGCTCCCTATTGAGCACGGAGCCCGATGCGGGGCTCGATTCCAGGACCCTGAGATCATGAACTGAGCCGAAGGCAGAGGCTTAACCCCCTGAGCCACCCAGGCACCCCTAACTCTTGGTTTTGACTCAGGTCTGATTTTGGGGTTGTGACATTAAGGTTCACACTCAGCATGAAGTCTGCTTGAGTTTCTCCCTCTCCCTCTGCCCTCCCCCTCCCGCTCATATATGTGCTCTCTTTCTCTCTAATAAATAGATAAATCTTTTTTTTTTAAAGATTTTATTTATTTATTTGTCAGAGAGAGAGAGAGAGAGAGAGAGAGAGCACAAACTGGGAGAAGCAGGCTCCCCGCTGAGCAAGGAACCCAATGCAGGACTCGATACCAGGACCCTGCGATCATGACCTGAGCCAAAGGCAACTGCTTAACCAACTGAGACACCCAGGCGCCCCAATAAATAAAAATTTAAAAAAATAAATAAAAGGATAGCCACATGCAGAAGAATGAAACTGGACCGTTTCTTTACACCACACACAAAAATAGACTCCAAATGGATGAAAGACCCAAATGTGAGATAGGAATCTATCCAAATCCTAGAGGAGAACACAGGCAGCAACCTCTGTGACCTTGCCACAGCAACTTCTTTGTAGACAAGTCTCCAAAGGCAAGGGAAACAAAGGCAGAAATGAACCATTGGGACTTTGTCAAGATAAAAAGCTTTTGCACAGCAAAGGAAACAGCAAAACCAAAAGGCAACTGACAGAATGGGAGAAGATATTCGCAAATGTCTTAGCAGATAAAGGGCTAGTATCCAAAATCTATAAAGAACTTATCAAACTCAACACCCAAAGAACAAATAATCCAATCAAGAAATGGGGAGAAGACATGAACAGACATTTCTGCAAAGAAGACATCCAGATGGCCAACAGACACATGAAAAAGTGCTCCACACCACTCGGCATCAGGGAAATACAAATCAAAACCACAATGAGATCCCACCTCACACCAGTTGGAATGGCTAAAATTAACAAGTCAGGAAATGATAGGTGTAGGCGAGGATGCGGAGAAAGGGGAACCCTCCTACACTGTTGGTGGGAATGCAAACTGGTGCAGCCACTCTGGAAAACAGCATGGAGGTTCCTCAAAAAGTTGAAAATAGGGCTACCCTACGACCCAGCAATCGCACTACTGGGTATTTACCCTACAGATACAAATGTAGTGGGGCGCCTGGGTGGCTCAGTGGGTTAAAGCCTCTGCCTTCAGCTCAGGTCATGGTCCCAAAGTCCTGGGATCGAGCCCCACATCGGGCTCTCTGCTCAGCGGGGAGCCTGCCTCCCTCTCTCTCTGCCTGCCTCTCTGACTACTTGTGATCTCTGTCTGTCAAATAAATAAAATCTTTAAAAAAAAAAAAAGATACAAATGCAGTGATCCAAAGGGGCACGTGCACCTGAATGTTTATAGCCACAATCTCCACGATAGCCAAACTATGGGAAGAGCCCAGATGTCCATCAACAGATGAATGGATAAGGAAGATGTGGTGTATATACAATGGAATACTATGCAGCCATTGAAAAAAATGGAATCTTGCCATTTGCAACAAAGTGGATGGACTGGAGGATATTTTGCTAAGTGAAATAGATCAGAGAAAGACATTTCCTATCATCTCACTCATGTGGAATTTAAGAAAAGGATCATAGGGGAAGAGAGGAAAAAATAAAACAGGACAAAATCAGAGATGGAGGGGTGCCTAGGTGGCTCAGTGGGTTAAAGCCTCTGCTTTCGGCTCAGGTCATGATCCCAGGGTCCTGGGATCGAGCCCCGCATCAGGCTCTCTGCTCAGTGGGGAGCCTGCTTCCTCCTCTCTCTGTGCCGGCTTCTCTGCCTACTTGTGATCTCTGTCTGTCAAATAAATAAATAAAATCTTTAAAAAAAAAAATCAGAGATGGAGACAAACCATGAGAGACTCTTAATCACAGGAAATAAATAGGGCTGTAGGGGTCGGGGGACAAGGTAACTGGGGGATGGGCACGAAGGAGGGCTTGTGGTGTCGTGAGCACTGGGTGTTATATAAGACTGGTGAATCACCGACCTCTACCTCTGAAATGAGTAATACATTATAAGTTAATTGAATTTAAATTAAAAAAAAAAAAGCTGCGGGGTTCCTTCCCTTGACACTAGCGACCTCCTACCCACAGGGAATGTACAACGCTACCACCCGGCAGGTGGAAACGGAGCTCTTCCCCTGCCTCAGGCACTTCGGACTGAGGTTCTACGCCTACAACCCTTTGGCTGGTAGGGGCTGCTCCGGGGACAGGCTCCCCCTGGGGTGGGAGGCCATTCCTGGCCCATCTCTGCCTCTTGCCGACACGGCAGGTGCCTGGCCCAGGGCCTGGAAAGCAGGGAGGGCTTTGAAGGGAGGCTGGGCCGTGTCCTCCATCCCTCCTGGGTTCCCCCAACACCCCCACCAGTCCAGAACAGCCTCTGGGAGCAGGGTGGACCCATGGCTCTGATGGTGGTCTCCCCACAGGGGGCCTGCTGACCGGCAAGTACAAGTATGAGGACAAGGACGGGAAACAGCCCGTGGGCCGCTTCTTCGGGAATAACTGGGCTGAGACCTACAGGAATCGGTGAGCCGGGGATGGGCTACATCAGGATGGGTGGGGTGCGGGGTCCCCTTTATCTGACTTGGAGAAATTCTAGGAGGTTTTCCTGGGACTTCCAAGTCTTTCCTGTTGTTTGGACCCATGTCTCTTGATTCCTGCAGAAATTACCAAACTCTGCTGGGTTTCTTGTTTTCTTGGGAGCTCTGTGAGCAAATGGTGACCCCTAGGTCTTATACTGGGTCTTCCAAGGCCAAGCGCTTCCTTGAGGACTGCTTACCCCTTGCCAGGAAGGAAAGAGGGAGCCCTGGATCCATGCTTAGGAGGCCTGGGGCTGAGGCCTGCCCCCAACCCCCCACCCCCCACACTAGTTACCTTTGCTTCACCAGGTAAAGTAAGGGCAGGCAGTTCTGAAGAACTCATGAAGAGACTAAAGATGTCTTTGAGGTGTTTGGTGAGGCCCCTCTAGCTGCCTCCTGTGCCCAGTGGCTCTGCTGTCCCATCAAGCCAGCCTGCTGCTGGAAGAGCACCGGGCCCTCCTCTCCGTGGTGTTGGATGGACACGGCTGCTGTGCTTGGCTTTGTGGCTGTAGCCCTAGTGTGACCTCAGGTTATTAACCCTTGTGCCACCCCCTTCACCTGCCCAGCTTCTGGAAGGAGCATCATTTTGAGGCCATCGCCTTGGTGGAGAAGGCCCTGCAGGCCGCGTACGGCAGCCGCACCCCCAGCATGACCTCAGCCGCCCTCCGGTGGCTGTACCACCACTCCCAGCTGCAGGTGAGCCGGCTGCCCTGTGGCAGAGCCAGAATTACCTGTAGGTGATTTCTAAGTCATGTGTTCTTTTTTTTTTGCCCCCCAAGATTTGATTTGGGGGCGCCTGGCTGGTTCAGTTAGTGAAGCATGTAAAAAGACTTTATTTAGTTATTTGTCAGAGAGAGAGCTTGAGCACGAGCAGGAGGGAGGGGGAAGAGGGAGAAGCAGGCTGAGCAGGGACCCCCCCCGCCTCCACCCCACGATGCGGGACTAGATCTCAGGATCATGTCCTGAGCTAAAGGCAGACACTTAATTGACTGAGCCACCCAGGTGTCCCAGCATGTGATTCTTGATCTCAGGGTTGTGAGGTCAAGCCCCATGTTGGGCATGGAGCCCGTTTTTTGTTTTTTGTTTTTTGTTTTAAGATTTTATTTTTAAGTAGTCTCCACCCCCAGTGTGGGGCTCGAACTCACAACCCTGAGACCGAGAGTCATGTGCTGCACAGACTGAGCCAGCCAGGAGCCCCACCTAAGCAGTTTTTCCCGGTGAGAGAGCTGGTGAGCAGCTGTTCCGCTGTCCTGAGCAGCTGTCTGAGCGCCAGGCCCCGGATAAGGGCTTCACATACGTGTACTTGGTTACTCTTCTGGCCCTACGAAGTGCCATTCCCTCAGTTTTACAGCTGAGGAAATGGGTTCACACAGCTGTGCAGGGGTTAGAAAATATCTCAAACCTCATTAGCCTCACGCACTCTTTGATGGGTGTTGGGGTCCCTGTCTCTGTTTAGCTAAAACCCTTCTCCTGCATCAGCCTGACGTACAGCGTTTGACGTGCCTAGAGTAGTTTCCCACAAAACAGGGGCGAAGTGCCTGGCGTTCCTCTTCCCCATAACCAGGCTGAGGATAGAGAAGACTGAGTCACCGGGAGGCGGAATGACTGAGCCCGGGTTACCCAGCTGAGTGGCCGAGCTGGGCTCTGAGCCCAGGCCTGTTTGAGGAGGAGCGGAGAGACAGCGGGGTTTGGAGTCACATCGTTAAAATCCCTGAGGGCGTTGGGCTCCTTGTGGAACTCTATTCAGTGTAAATAAACATCCGTGCCCGGGTCCCTGACAGGGGCAGGGCGGGGAGGGCGGGCGTGTGGCTGGAGTCACAGCTGGCTGTCTCCCCTTGCAGGGCACCCACGGGGACGCGGTCATCCTGGGCATGTCCAGCGTGGAGCAGCTGGCACAGAACTTGGCGGCGACCGAGGAGGGGCCCCTGGAGCCGGCTGTGGTTCAGGCCTTCGACCGAGCCTGGCACCTGGTCGCCCACGAATGTCCCAACTACTTCCGCTAGGGCCAGTCCTGGCTCAAGCTGCCAAAGGTTTCTCTCTTTCCCATCACCTCTTCTATCCTCTCATCCTGACCAGTCTGCCTTAAGTTGATTTAACATGGTCTTTTTTGATTGTCTGACTTGATGCAATATTTTTCTAGATCCCTCTCCTGGCTCCCAGTTGCCTTCCCTTCCCAGTCTAAAGGCTGGGGCTATGGTCCTCTTGGGCAGTTCCTGTCCGAATAAAACAGGCGTTTGCCCAGGCTGCGGCCTAGGCCCCGAGGAAAACCCACAAACCTGTCTCCTTTACTGTCTGCCGCCTGTTTTCGTCCTACCTGGGGGCTTCCTGCTATCAGGGCAGAACCACGAGCTGGAGTCTCCAGAGGGCCAGGGTAGAGCACACGCTGCCCTCAGGAGGCTCTCTCCCGCCTTCTGTCCTGAATCCAGCCTGAGTCAACAGCAGGGCTGAGGTGGCCCTCGCTCACCTGTGCACAGGGGCAGACAAGCAGGCCGTGCACCCTGAAGTGTACTTTCTCTTATTCAGAATCATCTCAGGAAATAGAGGCACTTAGAACTAGAATCCCTGGGGCCAAAACCTCCTAAGATGCTCCTGGCACCTCCTGAGATGCAGTGTGACATTTTTAACAGACTCTCAATTTCAGCAGTGGTTTTACCCTTGTCCTGGTGAAAGACTCCTGTCTCCCTCTCCTCCGTCGGACTCTCAGCCTTTCCCTGGGTCACCTGCTGTTGGAGGTGGAGTGTGGCATGGGCAGCCAGGGTCCCCATTTCCTTTGGCAAACCCCTACTCCAAGCAGGGGCACCCGACACTGGGGAAGAAAAATCCCAGGTCTGATGGTTGCTTCCCAGTGCAGAAAAATCCATCTAGCCCTGGGTGGGAGGCTGGGATGTGGGCCAAGCAGCTGAAGTCAGTACTTGGGGCTTGCTTATCTGGAAGTGAAGAAGGGGGCTCAGCTTGGAAATGCCAGACCAAAGCACCAATCAGAAACACTTTTCTTCTAACAAATGTCCCATTTGCCGTCTAGAGGGAGACACCTTGCAGACAAAATTGTATTCTCTACAAAACAGTCACCCTCTCTTGTCCTCACCCACAATAAAATGCCCTCAGCAGGGTGGTATATCAGTACCATTGTACAATTAGCTCTCCTAAAATCAAATTGCTTAAAATGACAGAATCCCCAAATTTAGATTAAAGATTCAATGCAATGCCTATCAAAAGTCCAACTGGTTTTTTGTTTTATCTTTTTTTTTTTAAACAAATTCATAAACAAACCCTAAAATTCATATGGAAATTCAAGGGACACAGAATAGATATAATCTTGAAGAAGAAGACTAAGTTCTCTGATTTTTTATTTCAAAACTTACCAAAAGCTACAGTAATAAGGGCAGTGTGGTAGTGGCATAAAGATCAATGAAATAGAACCCAGAGTCCAGAAATAAGTACATATAGTACTTTCAGTTGATTTTAGAGAAATGTGTCAAGACAATTCAATAGGAAAAGAACAGTTTTCAACAAGCGAAACTGGGACAACTGGATATCCCCATGCAAAAGAATGAAATTGATCCCCTTCCTCACACCATCCACACTCACACAAAATGAACTTGAGGATTGTAGACCTAATGTAAAAGCTAAAACTGTAAAGCTCTGAAAATGTAGGAGTAAATCTTCATGATCTTGGGTTGGACAATGGTTTCTTTGATGACAGCAAAAGCACCAGCAACAGAAGACAAAAAAGAATTAGACATTATCAAAATTTAAAATATGTGTGCTTTAACGGATACCATCAAGAAAGTGAAAAGGCGGGGGGTGCCTGGGTGGTTCAGTCAGTTAAGCATCTACCTTCAGCTCAGGTCCTGATCCCAGGGTCCTAGGATCGAGTCCCACATTGGGCTCCTTGCTTGGTGGGGAGCCTGCTTCTCCCTCTGCCTGCTGCTCCCACTGCTTGTGCTCTCCCGCTCTCTCTCTCACTAATAAATAAAATCTTTTTTAAAAAGTGAAAAAGTGACCTACAGAATGGGGAAAATATTTTGCAAATCACATATCTCTTAAGAAACTTCTATCTACAATATATAAAGAACTCTTAGAACTCAATGGTGAAAGATAGAAAACCCAATTTCAGGGGCACCTGGGTGGCTCAGTGGGTTAAGCCTCTGCCTTCAGTTCAGGGCATGATCTCAGGGTCCTGGGATCAAGCCCTGCATCGGGCTCTCTGCTCAGCAGGGAGACTGCTTCCCCCTCTCTCTGCCTACTTGTGATCTCTGTCAAATAAGTAAATAAATAAATCTCAAGAAAACCCAATTTAAGAAACAGGCAAAGAGTATCTGAATAAACCTTTCTCTGAAGAAGATAGACACAGGGCCAATAAACACATGAAAAGCTGTTCAACATCGTTATCCATTAGAGAAAGTAAATCAAAACCACAGTGATACCACTTTACATGCCACCAGGATGGCTAAAGTAAAAAACAGACAGTAACAAGTGTTGACAAGGATATGGAGAATTTGGAATCTCCTACACTGCTTGTGGGAATGTAAAATGGTGCAGGCACTCTGGAAAGCAGTCTGGCAGTTCCTCAAAAGATAAGACCTAGAGTTACCATATGACCCAGCAATTCCATCCTTAGGTACACACCCAAGAGAAGGGAAAACACACAAAAATTTGTACACAGATGTTCATCGTAGCAATAGCCAAAAAGTGGCAGCAGCCCGATGTCCATCTGCTGACAAATAGATAAATGAAACGTGGACTATCCATACGGTGGAATAGCAATAAAAAAGAATGAAGTAGAGAAACATCTAGCATCTGGACAAGCTTTGGAAACAATGCTATGTGGGAGAAGCCAGTCATAGAAGACCTAGTTGATGCTTTGGTTTACATGAAACGTCTGGAACAGGCAAATCGACTAGAGACAGAAAGTGGATTAGTGGTTACCAAGGGCTGGAAGGACACTGGAGGAAATGGAGAGTGGCTGCTAATGGTGGCTAATCTCATGAGGGGGTGATGGAAAACTCTAGAACTCTGATGGTTGTACAACACCAAATACACTAAAAACCATTGACTTGGATGCTTCATGTAATGTGCAAATTATGTCTCAGTGGGGAATGCTCATCTGCTCCCCATTGTCTGAGAAGGGACCTTAAAGCCAGAGATGGCATCACCTGAAGTCCAATGCACCCACACGTCTGGCGGTTGAAGGTGATCTCCAGTGGGAATGCCAGCTGCTATGGTCAAGCATAGACTTACGTGTGATGCCTCTACGTAGCCTGGACTTCCTCAAAGTGTGGAGCTAGCTTCTGAGGGCAAGCATCCCAAGAAAACCAGGTGGAAGCCATAGCGCTCGGTATGTCCCATTTTTGCAAAATCCACAGCAACATTCTTGGCTCATGGGGTGAGCATCAACATTATGTTGTAGAGGAGAATGTGAGAGAACAAACGGTCGTCTTTGGAAGACAACCTCTGCCACGGGGAGCAACAGTCCTGAGTGGTCAAGTCAAGAAGATGTGCCTTTGGACTGGCCAGGAGACCTTCAGTCCTGAGTAGCCCTGTTTGGGATGCGTGCTCTAGGTCATGTTCCATCTTTTAGAACTCTGAGGTAGTGGATCTCACACAGGTTTCATGGTTGCTGGAATTCAGCCATTTTGTATCTAATGAGCTTTTTTAAGAGACAGAGGAAAAGAGTTAGATGTGGAAAACAGCACAAACTTAACTTCAGGGCGCCTGGGTGGCTCAGTGGGTTAAGCCTCTGCCTTCGGCTCAGGTCAATGTCTCGGGGTCCTGGGATCGAGTCCCGCATCAGGCTCTCTGCTCGGCAGGGAGACTGCTTCCCTTCCTCTCTCTCTGCCTGCCTCTCTGCCTACTTGTGATCTCTGTCAAATAAATAAAATCTTTTTTAAAAAAAACTTCAAACTAAGGAAACTGACCTGTGGTGTATGAAAGACTGGAGAATGACGTGGAACAGATTTTGTTTACTCGAATTAACGTGGCAGAGAGGTGTCTACTGAAGCTAGAGGCTCGACGGAGGGCATCTGTGCTGACATACTCACGTCCCATTCTGGTCTGCGTGTCAGCATCACCAGTGTCGAATGTGGGGGTGAACATTATCAGTGGCTCAAATTTGCATTCTGAATACCTTTCAGAAGCCACGAGGAAGGGGGGAATGCGAGGCTCCATACTACACATGACAAAGTACATTCGTATTCCATCAATTTTTAATTTAACGGGATGATTTTTTTTTAAGATTTTATTTTTCATGTATTTGAGAGAGAGGGAGCATGAGGAGGAGGAGGGACAGAGGGACAAACAGACTCCCCGCTGAATGAGGAGCCCTATGTGGGGCTCCATCCTAGGGCCCTGGGATCATGACCTGAGTCAAGGCAGATGCTTAACCGACGGAACCACTCAGGTGCCCCAGGACTATTTTTTTTTTTTTTTAAAGATTTTATTTATTTATTTGACAGAGAGATCACAAGCAGTCAGAGAGGCAGGCAGAGAGAGAGGAGGAAGCAGGCTCCCCTAGAGAGCAGAGAGCCCGATGCGGGGCTCGATCCCAGGACCCTGAGATCATGACCTGAGCCGAAGGCAGCGGCCCAACCCACTGAGCCACCCAGGTGCCCCACCCCAGGACTATTTTTAACGTGACACCGTGGTGCATCAAAATTTGTGTGTGCTCATTACAAAAACATTTCCATCTTTGATGCTGAACTTAGTAACTGAATTTAACATAGCCTTCACAGGGCACCTGGGTAGGTCAGTCAAACATCCAACTCTTGGGGTACCTGGGTGGCTCAGTGGGTTAAATGTCTGCCTTCGACTCAAGTCATGATCTCAGGGGCTGGGATGGAGGCCAGCATCGGGCTCCCTGCTCAGCAGAGGGCTTGCTTCTCCCTCTCCTTCTGCCTGACGCTCCCACTGCTTGTTCTGTCAAATAAGTAAATAAAATCTTTTAAAAATAAATAAATAAATGTCTGATTCATGATCTCTGCTCAGATCTTGATCTCAGGGTTGTGAGCTCAAGTCCCACGTTGGGCGTGGAGCCTACTTAATTAATTAATTAATTAATTTAATTCACAAGAGTCCCACATGTTTTACCTTTGACAAGATGATCTTCCAAGAGGGGCACCTGGGTGGCTCAGTCAGTTAAGCTCAGGTCATCATCCCAGGGTCCTGGGATCAAGGTCTTCATCAGGCTCCCTGCTCAGTGGGGAGCCTGTTTCTCCCTCTCTCTCTGCCTGATGCTTCCCCTGCTTGTGCACTTTCTCAAATCAATAAGATAAAATAAAACAAAAAGATGAACTTCCAAGAGCTTTACTTTGATTGCATGAAGTGGACGGAAGAAAACTTGAATGATTATTGGAATTAACTGATTTTCTATTTGAAGTGTTTGGCACTGATAGAAAACTGGCGTTAGTTTCTATTTGTGAAGTGTTTCTGTGGTTGACACCAACACACCAGCTACTGCTTGACTCCTGACACGCCTAAGGAAACTTGGAATGACAACTGAGCACATGTAACTGAGAAGGACAGTTATTTAATCTAGATCAAAAGTTCTGTGTCGGGGCACCTGGGTGGCTCAGTGGGTTAAGCCTCTGCCTTCGGCTCAGGTCATGATCTCAGAGTCCTGGGATCGAGCCCCCATCGGGCTCTCTGCTCGGTGGGGAGCCTGCTTCCTCCTCTCTCTCTCTCTGCCTGCCTCTCTGCCTACTTGTGATCTCTCTGTCAAATAAATAAATATAATCTTTTAAAAAAATTTTTAAGGGGCGCCTGGGTGGCTCAGTGGGTTAAGCCGCTGCCTTCGGCTCAGGTCATGATCTCAGGGTCCTGGGATCGAGTCCCGCATCAGGCTCTCTGCTCAGCAGGGAGCCTGCTTCCCTCTCTCTCTCTCTCTCTCTCTCTGCCTGCCTCTCCATCTACTTGTGATCTCTCTCTCTGTCAAATAAATAAATAAAATCTTTAAAAAAAAATTTTTTTTAAAAAGTTATGTGTCATAGTGATAAGAAAATGGACCTTCTGGGGTCAGCCGGGTGGCTCAGTCAGATAAGTGTCCAACTCTTGGTTTCAGCTTGGGTCATGATCTCATGAGTCCTGAGATTGGACCCATGTTTGGTGGGAAATCTACTTGAAGATTCTCTCCTTCTGCCCCTCCTGTCATTCGTGTTCTCTCTCTCTCTCTCTCTCTCTCATAAATAAATAAATCTTTAAAAAAAAATCAA